TCTTCGAATATGTGACTGTTGCAAGAATTGGAATATTTTATTTATTTTAAAAGCAATTACTTCCAACTTTTTACAGCTGACTACATAGTATATCTGCTTTGGAAACTAGTAACCAGAAAGTTTGTGTTGCCACAAATATTTTTGTAATTTAATCCTCTTTGTGACAAAATATTTCGCCATGTTTCCCACCTTGAGCGCATGATATTTTTAAAATGGCTAATGGTACATACTTGAAATTAGATGGAATTCTTTATATGCGCACTATTTTCTAACTGAACCAACAATCTGGTGAAAATTTTATGGACGAAAACATCACAAATTTTTTTTAATAAAATACATTTTATAAACTCAACTCAAAATAAAATAAAAATTTAACATGAAATTTTTAGAATTTTAGGTTCACAGTAGTTTCCAAATGTTATAAAAGCTATATATTAAATATGGAATTAAATTATGTAACAGAATGTTTTAAACTGTGCGCACAAGTTGGGAACATGACGAAAAATGTTGTCACAAAGCGGATTAAATTATAAAAATATTTGTGGCAACACAAACTTTCTGATTACTATTTCAGAAAGCAGCTACATTATGTAGTCAGCTGTAAAAAGTTGGTAGTAATTGCTTTTAAAATAAATAAGGTACCTCAATTCTTGCAACAGTTACCTATTCGAACATCTTATGGGTTTTAAGGTGTATGAGTCCCCTTAAATTATAAGGTATTTCTCCCACTTTCCTAGCGTCCTTCGTGGTGTAGTGGTTCTGTACGCTGGGCCGGTATTCCAGAGGTCCGTGGTTCTGTTCCCGGAGAAGACGGTTGCACATTTTTCATCTTCTCTGCTTCCAATTAACCTAAAGACTCTATAAGTGGCGCCGGAACTAAAAGGGTTGTGGATGATGATTCTCCGCACCCAGGATTTGGCGACTAAGCCCCTAAAACCCTAGTCGCCCTTTAAAAAGAGGAGTATATAAGGTATTTCTTCCACTTTTCTGGCGTCCTTCGTGGTGCAGTGGTTCTGCACGCTGGGCCGGTATTCCAGAGGTCCGTGGTTCTATTCCCGGCGAAGGTGGTTGCATATTTATCATATTTTCTGCTTCCGATTAACCTAAAGGTTCTACAAAATAAACTTCATTAAATTTCAATGTTAAAAAAGTAAAAGGTAAAGTGTAGTTTTCACTCACAATCTGCCCATTTCCTTTAATGTTTCGAATAAAAGCTAAAACAATATTCAGGCTAATCTTTGGAATATGGTAACACGTAGTTTGGCGACGTTTTGGTAAGGCGATAAAGGTTACTAGCTAGGACTTTAGCAGTGTACATGGATAAAGTCATGGCGTCCAAAAAAAAAAAAAAACTAGCAGGTTTCTTTAGCAGGGTTGGTCGCCACATTTTGGCCAAAAAATCGCCAAGTTACCATAATCCGAAGATTAACCAATATTCAGATTAATCTTATAAAAAGTAGTTTAAGCTTGTCTAAATGCGTGTATTTCCTTTTCAGGCATTAAATTTTGGTATAAAAACTGAAACCAAAAATTAATTTAATGCCATTTCAATATAATAATAGATGCACACATTTTAATACGCTGAAGAAATCATCTTTTCAAAATGAAACTTCGACAGCCTTGATAAAACCAGTCTCCATTTACGTGCAAACTTTCAGAATAACATCGATCTCTGAATACTTCATAAAACCAAGACTTTCATGAGTTACAAGCGTTTGTCATGACAGGAAATAAGCATGCAAAATATATCAGCAGAAACTCATTTATTCATCAAATAATAGTTTGTTAAAATATTCATTTCAGTTCTCTAAAAAGCGGATTTTTAAAATGCGTTATTTCATTTTCAGGCAATAAATTTGCTACAAGAATTGAAACAGAAGAAATGTTAAAGCCGTTTCATTATAATAATATTGCTTGTTGCGTAGTTGCGTCCTGCGTAAATAAAAGGAGCATATTCTCGAAGCCACTTTTTTTAATTAGATTTTAAAGGGACTCATACACCTTAAAACCCACAACATCTTCGAATATGTGACTTTTGCACGAATTGGGATTACTTATTTATTTTAAAAGCAATTACTTCCAACTTTTTACAGCTGACTACATAATAGAGCTGCTTTCTGAAATAGTGATTACAAAGTTCGTGTTGTCACAAACATTTTTATAATTTAATACTCTTTGTGACAAAACGTTTTGTCATGTTTCCACCTTGCGCACACAGTTTAAGATATTCTGTTGCACAATTTAATTCCATATTTAATACATTGCTTTTATAACATTTGGAAACTACTATGAACCAAAAATTCTAGGAATTTCATGTTAAATTTTTATTTTGTTTAGAGTTGAATTTATAAAATGTATTTTATCAAAAAAATCTGTAATATTTTCGTGCATAAATTTTTTTAATATTAAAATATTCATCAGATTCTGGGTTCAGTTAGAACGTAGTGCCCATATAATGAATTCCATCAAATTCCAAGCATGTACTATTAGCCATTTTAAAAATATCATGCACGCAAGGTGGAAACATGACGAAAACGTTTTTCACAAAGCGGATTAAATTACAAAAATATTTGTGGCAACACAAATTTTCTGGTTACTCTTTTCTAAAGCAGCTATATTATGTAGTCAGCTGTAAAATGCTGGAAGTAATTGCTTTTAAAATAAACAAAATATCCCAATTCTTGCAACAGTCACATATTCGAAGATTATAAGGGGTTTAAGGTGTATGAGTCCCCTTAAAGCAATGCTGGTAATTTAATATTTCGCAGGGGGGATAGAGTGTTTTTTTTTGTTCTGTAGAGAATGCATCAGCTAATCATCCAGAAAAGAATAAAATAAATGTAAATTCTCAGGGCCTGTAGTTTCTTGGTCCGAATTCAGTAGCAGATTTTAAATCTCCCATAAAAGGCTAAATTTCTTCGAACCTTATTGCCTTATTTAATATCAAGAGCGAGAGTGTCCTGCATGTCACCCCCCCCCCCAAAAAAAAGAAAAAAAAAGCGAAAATGGGGTTCGGTTAAAAGGATCTTAAGTTTTTACTGAAGTTTATTTTATTTTAAAACTTTACTGCCCTCTTTTACTTTCCACATCTGGCCAGAATAAACTATTTCAGCTATTTATACAAATTGTGTTTGCTAAATCTTGGGTATTTAAGTTGTGGCGTTCCGCCGAGAATAGACATAGGAGAGAGAGTGAGCCTTCTTGCCACTTTATTTCACTCGTGCTTTCAGTCAGTTGCTATCCGCCTTTAACGACAGAGGTTAAGTCCTCTTGATATCTAAGACGTATTGTAGTTTTCCAAAGTTTGCGTTCTATATACGTAATAATCTGAAAGGCCAATCTTAGTGTCATTCATCTGCGTAAAGCATTTGAGTTTAGCTCTTATTTAAATTTAGTTAGCTGGTAGTTCTTCTTTTCTTACGTTCAGACCACAAGTGGTTTGTCTTTGTACGCCGAAGTGCGGAAGTACCAGTAAAGTATGTAAAATAAAGGGTAATTAAATCCTTATCATCTTTGTTATTCCTTCTACAATTTACAAAACATAGTTTCCAGTAGACTCCCTGTTCTTTTCAGGACACCCTCATGTTCCCTAAACAGATAAGGAGATATAGTAGTCCTGATAGTGGAGCCCGAAGAAGAAGACCAAGTATCTCTATGTTGGATACGTAGTCATCAAGCTGCTTAAGGTAACGAAAGAGACGATTCCTTAGCTAAAGAAACCACAATTCACCCTTCCATCAAATCAGAGATCCCACTCTCCATAATCGCTGCCAAACACAAGATCTTCTGCGCTTTCATGTCCATGTGGCATGAAGACTCAGACACCGGCTGACACACCTACTCCATCTTTCCCGTGGTCTCCACCAAGACGCTCAAAACATACTTCTATCTACAACAAGCTTTCACACTTCACGAAGATTTTCCGCGTACCTCAGCAGGTTCTGTCATCAAAACGTCAAATGCCCCTGCGGTGCTTCAGTTTCTTCAGCAGACGTCTCACATTACATCCACGACTGTCCACTCACTTCTCTTATCAGAGCGTCCCTTCCTCAACTTCAGGGATCACATAGTCTCAAAGACCTTCTTCAGGATTACTACGAACAGCAGGGCGTCAGAATCATCATAGAATGTCTATTCTAAGAGAAACATAATTAACAGATTAACCAGGTCTAGGCACCTGACGAAATGTAAAGACAAGAAGCCTTCGTTCATGTATATATATATGTAACTACCTCTAAACTAAACCCTCTTTTTTCTAATTTCATACTAACATACCCAACCCATTGTAAGTTGGAGCACCCAACAAAAGCAATACACTAATGTTAAATCTGTTTATTAATAATAAGGTTGAAAAGATAAACAACCCAAGAAGGTTGTTGGCGCAACGATTAAGATTTCATAACTGACCTGTAGTGCCCATTGAGAGGTGAAGCACGGGAATAATAATAAATAAAATGACGTCATACGAAGATATCTGCCAAAAATAGCTTGTTCGTTATACAGAGATAGGTGCAAAAATAGTTTGATCATTAAATATAAAAATTCTAAACAAATTTTGAAAGAATCGCTTCATCACGTTACATGTGATCCACACCAAGTGTGTGTACAAAATTTACATTTGATAGCTTATCATAAAGAAGGCTAAAATTTCATACAGAGCGAACTAAATAAAATTTAAAAATAAAAGACAGGCGAATCGCAATGAACAATTACATCTAACCTTGTAATCGTTCAATGAAAAAAAAAAAAAAAAAAAAAACCCGATATTTAAAATTAAACGAAAGAAAGCATGATGATTAGTACATCTTATTTCTCATGTATTTGGCGACGGTATTGAGAAACCTTGATAAATAATAGTTTTATTATTCGTGGCCATGTTTACCATTTTATGCACTTATTTTGGGAGGAGAAAACATGTGTAAAACTCTATCCGACCTTTCGGCAAAGCAGTCAAAAGTTGAATGAGACGTGCCGTGTTTTCTAAACCTCTTGGGTGATAGCGTTATTTAGTCTTTGTCCTTGAAAAGTATCTTCAGTTGATATTCAAGTGGAGAAAATTTCACCTCAGAGCGATATCCACTTTTCTCGTTACATAAACCATAATTATCTCAAATTGCCACCTGTAGAAGCGATTAATTGCATGTCGATATAACTTTCCATGTGACTGAGAAAATTCTTTGGAGGTGTAATTGGAATTGTAGGCAATCATGGCTATGATGTTGGGTGAAACTATGCAGTCACATGACTAAGAACGTCAGTCCGGCTTTGCAAATGAATATTGGAATAGAACAGTGATTGTGTATTATATTTATTAATCTATGTATCTTGCTTCTGGTCTTAAGATAACGTTCTTGTTCCACATTTCAGTCAATTTCCTTACGGCATTTAAAGCATAAAATACTGTAAAAGTTTTTAACTCGGAAGAAAAAACTTAGGAAGGTTTGGTAAGTAATTTTGATACACGATTTACATATTATTGTAGTTTTATTGCTCTATTAATAGATAATTTTAAGAATAATAAGTGAGAGTCACATACTTTTATGTGAAATTATAAAGAAATGTATTAAAATGTGTTATCGAATTGAAAGTATTGCAGAAAGTGAGCTTCAAGACAAGAACAGTAAACAAATATAATATTTAACTATTTCATTAACGTTATTATTTATAATAACGCATCACATTATGTGAGGAATGTGTGAATGCATTAAGTATTGACGTAAATCGATAATTACCATTTATTAGTCGTAATTCATACAATATTCATGACCCAGTTCTTATAATAGATGAAGGATTAGATTCTGATCTATGTCAGGTTCTTTCAGATTATAGACTTTGTCATTCTGGGGCAAATTCAGTTGTACAGATTATTATACGAATGATATAAGAATTATACGGTACAGATATTTACTGTAAATTTTATATGAAATGAAATTTTCTGCGGGAGTGAAATTTCATTTTGCTCACTCTGAAACTATGTTTCATTTAACTTACTTTTTACCTACGAAGTTCATTATATTATTTAAATTTTTTTTTATTATCGTAGGAGCCTGAGATCAGGAAGTGTATACATATTATCGTATTACCGCAACCACATTGACGCATTGGCGTATTATCGTATTATCGCAACCACCTTGGTGCGGTATAGCGGAATTTACGGAAGAAAAATAGCAATTGCTTTTATTTATAATGTATTATTACATACATATTCTACTTTTCAACTATATATTTATTCCAAACAACAATCAGTAAACCTAGTTACAAATGGTTTTTATTTTTGTTTTGATGAAAATTCCGTTGCGATTGCTTTGAGAAAGGATTCGAAGAATTATTTCTTTAGCGATTTTGCCAAAAAATAATGTGTTCATGCAGACATTCCACTTTTCTTTCTTCTATTATAGAAAAATCCTACAAGCACAAATTTTAAAAATCTAGTTTAAGAGAGAAAAATAATCATAAGTTTTCTATAAAAGGTGTTGAAACTTCCAATACAACACAAAGAACGCATTAGAAAATGGTGACGTTGGAAATTGGATGTTTGTCACGCGGGCAGAGTCCTAGATAACTGCTATGCGGCTTGGTTACCAGAGTTTGGTGTATTCTGAAGCTTTGGCGACCTCTGCTACGGTGGTTGCGATAATACGTAAGTACCGAAGAAGTTAATTAAGTAAATGAATGCAAAGAAAATGCTAGATTGTTTAACTGATAGAAACACATACAGTGTCTCAAAAAAGTGATGGGACACTTGTGCTTTACAAAAGGAAACTGTAGTAAAATAAATTTAAAAAACAATAAAAAAATTTTGTGGATGTGTTTCATACTTAAATTTAGTAACAACTATTACATAACATACATTTTCTCAAAATATTAAAATATTAATTTAATAAAATGCAATTGTTTAGAACGGAGCAAAAAATGGCACACATAAGTGATGGGACACTTACTTTTCCATCAAATATTTATCCAAAAATTTTACTTTTTAAAAGGTTTTAATATTTTGTTGGATTTCCTTTTCCTTTTAAAACATGATTTAATCTTCTTGGGATGGATTCCACTAATTTTTTTGTGATTTATGGAGTGATTTTACTCCATTCTTCTTGAAGCACCGATTTTAATTGTTGTTTTGAAGAAATGGTGTGTTTGCGAATTCTTGATTCCAATTCTTGTCAAATATTCTCTATGGGATTTAAGCCTGGAGTTTGTGGTGGTGTTTTTATTATTTCAGGACAGTTATACAGCAGCCAGAGTCTAACGTTCAAAGCAGTGTGCTTAGGGTCATTGTCCTGGTAGAATTTAAAAATGTTATGAAGGTTCAATTTTCGTGCTGAAGATTTCAAATTTTGATTTAAAATGTCAATATACATTGTGCCTGATCCATTATACTGTCAATAAAAACAAGATTATCAACTCCAGCGGACGACATACACCCCCATACCATAACTCCTCCTCCACCATGTTTTACTGTTGGCACCAAGTTCTGTTTGCGAAATTCTTCCCTGGGTTTTCTCCACACCAAGATTCTACCGTCAGAACCAAATATATTAAATTTACTCTCATCAGCAAATAACTCCATTCCAGTAATCAGAATTCTTATTTATGTTGGATTTTGCGAAAGCCAGTCTGAGTTTTCTATTCTTTTCACTTACGAAGAATTTTTTCCTGGCTGCTCTACCGTGATATCCAGCAGATCGAATTACTTTTCTAATAGTCTCAGGATTAACAATTACTCCATATAATGCTTGTAAATCAGCAGCAATTTTAGGAGCACTCATTCTTGGACTTTTTTTAATGTTTCGAACGATAATTCGCTTTATTCCATTAGATAGTTTTGATGGTCGGCCAGGTCTTCTTTTATCCTGGATCATATGATTCTTTTTATATCGTTTAATGGTATTGAAAACTGTTGAAGGACTCAAGTTAACTGTTTCAGCTGTTTCTGTAATAGATTTTCCACGTTCAATATGCAAATTAATAACTAATTTTCGAATTTCAGGCAAAGTTTCTTTTCGTTTAGCATTCATAGCAGCACAGAGCTAAAAAACACAAAAATTCCCAAACAAACTGGAGAGAAATACTGCAGACGATTTTATAAATTATTGGCAATTGCTTTTGAGTAAAATTAAATACCCCAAAAGATATTTTTATTGCTTACTTAAGACGATTTTTGTTGCATAGTACCTAGTGTGCCATCACTTATGTGAGCCATGTTTTGATCCGTTCTAAACAATTGTATTTTTATTAAATTAGTATTTTAATATTTTGAAAAAATGTATGTTATGTAATAATTGTTACTAAATTTAAGCATGAAACACACCCACAAAAAATTTTTACATGTTTTTTTAATTTATTTTATTACAGTTTCTTTTTGTAAAGCACAGGTGTCCCATCACATTTTTGAGACACTGTATACTTAATTTTTTCCTCTAGAAAATGATAAGATCATATTAAATAAAACAACAAGGGCTTCATATTCACGATGCTTTTAAGAATTTTAGACAATGTAGATCTACTAAGGAAACATTACACTAATAAATAATTTTCTTAGTAATGAAAAGCGATCTGTAAAAAACCACACGATATGCCTTGAATTATAAATTTTAAAGAAATTATTTTAAAGAAAGATATTTAAAGAAATTTAGAACCAAATCTTAACTTCTTCCTACCATCTCTGTGCACAAGTAAACTATACTCCTGCGCTTCTGTGTGTATTAAGCGTCACCTGTAAGGATTCTGAAAGGTATTGCTAGAAAAGTCCGAATCGGGTGCCGATATTGACAAGTTTGTTTAATATATGTTAAAATTAAAATATTAATATTACATTTTGTTTCAGTTATTGGGTTATTATTATTTTTCAGTTATTATAATTAGTTTTGCGATCGAATTATTTGTAAACCATTCTGAACGCGTACATAAGTTGACACTTACACCTCAGTAGAAAAGATATTTGCTGAGAAATCTCGATTTATGCACGGCAACATAATTTCCTAGTTTACCTGGTTTTCAGCTCTAGTTTTCCATAGCCATTTCACCATAGTGGGTTATATTGCGCAGCTGCATTTCTTTTGCTATTAACGATTTCAGATCAAATTGCTAGATAATCTGAATTAAAAGTGGGTTGGAAGATTACAATTTTGCTTATGGTTAAGCAAGAATATTTTTTCTAAAAACTTAAAATAAAGAGCCGTCTTTGACGGTTGAGTGTAAAAAAAGTTTCAAAGCTTGTCGAAACTCTCCGAAAAACGAAGGCCACCGGCGGCCGAGCGGTGAAGCCACTGAACACTAGTAGATCGTCCGCGTTCGAATCCCGGAGAATATTGGCTGCATGAACTCTTTTGCGGGTTTCCCCATGTGTAACGAGTATACTAGCCAACTTGTAGAGACATTAGGTATTTTTTGGAAGCAGGAGAATTGAAAAATTAGCAAACGCCTTCGCCGGGAGTCGAACCACGGACCTCTGGAAAACCGGTCCAGCGTGCAGAACCACTACACCACGAAGGCACGCTAGGAAAGTGGGAGATATACCTTATATACTTTCCTTTTTAAAGGGCGACTAAAAGTGGGAGATATACCTTATATACTCTCCTTTTTAAAGGGGGACTTTTTAAAGGTTTTAGGGGACCTAGTCACCAAATCCTGGGAGTGGAGAGTCACCATCCACAACCCTTTTAGTTCGGGCGCCACTGTAGAGACATTAGGTATTTTTTGGATGCAGGAGAATTGAAAAATTAGCAAACGCCTTCGCCGGGAATCGAACCAAGGACCTCTGGAACATCGGCCCAGAGTGCAGAACCACTACACCACGAAGGTACACTAGGAAAGTGGGAGATATAACTTAAACTTCCTTTAGAACGTTCTTCACGAAGGTATTCCTCCCCTGAAGCAGATAGTCCTCGTGTGTTTGCCATAATAAATTAAAACCAACAAAACCAAAAAAGGAGACAGACTGAAGTTGGATGTAATTGAAAATCTCATTATTCATTTTAGAACATTCAATTCATAACCATATTTAATAAACGTTAATGTCAAAAATATGCTTTTATTTCATTTTTACTTTCTCGCATTCAGGGTCCATAGAAGAAAATGTCCTTATTATGTTATATTGCAGGGCCAACTTCTTTAGTCGGCACTGCATTTGGGCAGAATCATCATTTCTTGTCTACATGCTATTAATCCTAGTATGGAATTCTTATTAAAGGGTGAAAAAAAACTAAGTAATTAGTTACAGATTTTGACGGCACTGTCATAGCTATGTATGTTTTTATAGTGAAAGATGTTTGAATGGAAGAGCTTTTGGCCTCAACCGATGCGAAAGAGTTAATATTTGATTGAAAAAGGTGAGAGCTTCTTGTAGACTGAAGTAAATTCAAAAGAAAGCATTGATTAGGCTTATAATAACCGTGAAGGGACACATCGACTTCACAGATAAAGCGCAATTTCCCTGCTCGTT